ATCTCAACCAACTTCAAATTTATTCCTTTATGTTTACTTCGTATTAGTCAAATAAAGAAATGACCAGTCAATTTGCCAGTATCTGCATTTTATAATCAAATACAGTACAAAATGAGGTTGTGTTTGGTTTGTAATTCAAACCATGATTCTACACCTGTTATCAACTCTCTTTTTGTTTATAGTTTTCAAATTACGATTTTAAGTCAATTTCAAAATACATTTTGAAAATATATTTGGTAAATCAGAGAGTTTTTTGAATTTTATTCTACCTAGTAATCCGTCTAAATAGTTTTTGAATTTTTTTGTCTATCCAGTCGTCCCCCTGAATGTCTAATCAGTTGACTGAAATAATGTTTATTTTTATTTTTTAATTAATTTATTGATTTTTTTTAGCAATTGGCACTGTTATCTGAAAAAAAAAATATATTTATTTTTGATATTTTTTAAATATAGAAAATATTTTTTTGAGACCAAAATAACAAATTATTTGGACATTTATTTAAAATTGACAAAAAAAATTTGAAATAAAAATTAATTTGTCAGAGTAATTTTTTAAAAATAAAATAATAATAATATTTTCTTTTAATATTTTAGATAAAAAAATATTTTAGGAGTTTTTTTAATTTTTTAAATAAAAAATTGTTTTTGTCAATATTTATTTTTTTGAATTGAATTTTAAAAAGAGGTTGGTTATGAATTTCGAATATAAAAGAGTTTTGGTTATGAGTTAAAAAGAGGTTGGTTATGAATTTCGAATATAAAAGAGGTTGGTTATTTTTGGATATGAATTTTAAAAAGAGTTTTAAGTTGTGTATTTGGTTATGAATTATAAGTTTTTTAATTAAATTTTGAAAACTTTTTTCAAAACTCACAATGAAACAGTTTTTCACAAACTCAACACTCATTTCAAAAATTCAACGCTCAATTCAAATCATGATTAAAAATTCACAATTAAATAAATTTTCTCTTTTTAAATCATAATTTTAAAACTCACAAATTCAAAATATAATTTCACACTTAAACTATAATTTTAAACACAAACCAAACTTTATCTTAAACTTTAGTGGGTTAGATGGAATGTTACTGAGGGAGCCTAGGCTTGTAAAGCAAAGAACCTAGAGCCTTCTAATTGTTTTCTGATTTTTCTTTTTGAAAAAAAAAAAAATTAGACAGTTGTTTGACAAAAATAAATAATAAAAAATATATTTTAAATTTAAGAAAATTATTTTTTATAAAAAAAAAACATATAAATACTTTGCCAAGTAAATATTTTAACTTATAAGTTAAAAAATTATTAAAAAAATAAAAAAGCAAACAAATATCAACAAGTCAATTTTTTTTTATTCTCTACTTTTTGTATATATTTCATAAAATATAAAAAAATTATTTTAAACATATACGTCCTTTTGGTAAGTTACTAAAAAAGTAAACTTATTATTATATTTTTTTTATCTTATTTGAGTTATATCATCTTTTATTTGGGTCATATAACATTTCTACCACATTGCACATCTTTTCATAAAAAGTAAAATGTTACTAAAATAGTTTATTCTTAAACAATCCCATATTCACCATGTTTGTTTGTAGAAAATTGAATCTACTTTTAGAAAATTATTTTTTTTGTTTTTATATATATTTTTAATTTTTTGTGATTTTTAAAATATTTTACATATTTCTTTTATTTTTTAGATACATATAATTTAAATACATTTAAAAAAATAATATTTTGCGAAAAAAATATCATCAAATTCAAAAAAAAAAATACAAAAAGAAAAAATTAAATATATTTTTGTATTTTGTTATACTCAATGATTTTTTTTTAATTATATAAATTTTTTACTTTTTAAACATATTAATATTAAGTAAATTTAAAAATGACCCTCGATTTATAAATTCAAATTTATATTTTGTTTGCCAAAAAGTCCAGGCGTACAAATATTCTGTCCACAAGGATAACTTCATGTAAAAAAACCAAACTACTGTTAATATGATCCATGCATCTTCCTCCTCCTATTTCTTCACCACTGTTGAATCATTTCCCCAAAACTCTCTCTCTTTCTAAGTATATATACAATCTATTCAAATTGATCTCGCTGCCTCCCAACTCCTCTTTCATCGCTGCCGTCAAAACCCTAACCTTCGCTCTCACCTTAGAGAGATCGGAACACATAGAGAGATTGAAGAAACGGTGTTGAAGTATTGCCGTTCTTCACGACGTTATCGAAACACATAGAGAGATCAAAGAAACATTGAAACCAACTCATTCATTCAGATCTGATTTCATTGGTGGATCTAGATCGTGATGATGATACTACGACTTAGACACGATCATCGCCTTGATCTCTTTCAACATAACCATAGTTGGTTTTTGTTTGTTTCCTAGGAAAAAATAAAGTAAGGAGTGGTGATTTCAATGGATTTGAAAGTAGATTAAAGAACAAATTCGACTGTGTGTTGTTTTATATATATGTATATATATATATATATTCTACTGTGTGTGTTGTTTGTGTGATTTTACTTGCAAGAAGAGAATGATGAGTTTGTTGTTTTTAACTCCATGTGTATATATATTCAACTGTGTGTTGTACGTGTGATTTTACTTGCAAAAAGAGAACGATGAGCTTTGAAAATCTTGAATTGAGCCAAACTTTTAGTTTGAATGGAAGCAACATTAACACCCTTTAACCCGCTTTCTTGATATACTTGATCTTGTGGCTGTTTTTGTACAAATAAAAAATCTTATTAAACATCTATGGTATTTTTCATTTATGATATGAATTATAGGTGAAAATTTTGTACAGATAAAAAATCTCATTAAACATTTTTGGTATTTTTCATCTCTAATATGAATTAAAGGTAAAAAAAATTGTCTAGATAAAAAATTGCACAGATAAAATTTATACCCAAAAAAAATTGGTATGAAGTAAAGTTGAAAATTTTGTACAGATAAAGAGAGGAATATATAGAGAGAAAGTTTAAAAATGGTTTGAATTTTTAAACTATTGCATGTGGGCTTTGCTCTAACAAAAGCAATTGCATTGCCCCAATGATGGCCTTTTTGATCTCATCCGTATTCCGATTGAAGAAGTTTCATTCTTACAACTCTCTTTTTGAAGCAGATAGTTTATAGTGCTCATTCTATAGATACTGGAATGACTTGCGCTATGGAAAGAAAAGCGATTCTAATAATAATTTATTCACTTTTATTTCCTTATTGATTTCGTTCCTGATGCTTGCATAGGGCTTTACTTGGATCGCTCATTTATTTGTTTTCTCTGTGGACTGGATTGATTGAATTATGTCTTCCATGGACAGACTCTCTCTTTTCGTTGGAGGCGACGGAAGTGATGCCGGACCTTCAAGTTCGGGGCACCCGGAGCTCGATCTAAACCAACCTTCAGCTCCTGAGCCGAGGCTAGATCTCAACGGCCCCCTCCTGCTAAGCCTGAGCCTGAGTCGGCCCCTCCTACTGAGCTTGCGCCGGGCCCTCTTGCTGAACCTGCGCCGCAGCCTCATCATTTTTTCTCATTATCAAATGAGCAATTAAAGGAAGAGCTCAAAAAAACCGTTAAACGTCTTCGCTATTATAAAGGGATGCTTAATTATTGGGAGAGGGAAATACATAAGTGTATTCAGAAAAACATGGAGATGCGTGAAAAGAGGCGGATGAGCGGAAGAGGGCTCTAAGCGGATTAAAAAAGTCGATTTATACGGTCAACCTCGCTTGGCTGGCATCCAATTATGCCCCCGGATGTATGCCCTTCAGTCATTCATTGAAGAGGAATCATTCCATTTTGAATGGAAGATGTGAAACCAATCCCGATAAAGCCCTTTTTATTTTTTTAGCGAAAAAAAAAAGATTGCTACGTCCTATAAGAATTGCCGGGATTTCCACATGAGAGAAAAAATAGAAATGGAACAGTTGAACACCGTGATCCAAGATATGAAACAGAAAAGATTCGCGTCCTTGACCGTTCATTCAATTGTTCAGGCTTGTTTCCCTCCCGATACTCCCATCCGAGGTAGCTGGATTCAAACTTTATGAAGCTGTGAATTCAGTAGATCCTGTTGATCCTGCTGACCCATACATACCTGGTAGCAGTTCGTTGTCCAGATATTAGATATCCAGAAATAAAGAAGGTTAAAGTTTCATTCTTACAACTCTCTTTTTGAAGCAGATAGTTTACAGTGTTCATTATATAGAAATTGGAAATGGAACAATCAACAATGACTTTCCCATTAATGGAATTGTTCGAGGTGTAGCTCTTTTTTATTGGGGGGTTCAAAAGGGGCTTCCGCAGGACCACGATGTGCATGCACAATCGCCCTTCTCTCAAGAGGTGCAGGTCCACGCATCATCATCTCATCTGGCTCACGAGCAAGAGGAACGCGGGGGGCTGCAGACGCCCTTTACAAAAAAAAAAATCGAGGCTGGCATTGAAGCTAGCATTGAAGCTCGCTTTTGCACGTACTGTAATCGACCCAGCGTTACCAAACGCTTTCCCCAAATCCATTTTCCAAGTTTGGATTATTTGGCTTTGGCAAAGCGACTGGCCTCGGAAACACTAGAGGTGAACATATAAAAAATGGGAAAAAAAATTTATAGATAGGAAAAAATTTAACAAATAGAAATTTTTTTGAACATATAGGGATTTCTTTTGAATAGATAAAAAAAAATTTGAACATATAGTCAATGAAAATTCAATTGATAAAAAAAAATGTTAAGAGATAAAATTAGAGACAAAATATCTTTTCAAACCAACAAAAAGATTTCTCATCAAACTATTTCATAAAAGGTGAACATATCACCAATAAAAAACATCCAGTAGATCTAATGCACACTCTCTAAATTAGATATATCACAAATTTTTTTATTTAAAAATTAATTAAAATATATTAAAAATATAAATTAAAGATTTAAAAAATTATTTTTAACAACGCAAAACTAATTAAATTTTTTCTCTCATATATATATTTTTTTAAAAAAAATTAGTGGATTCCCAAACGATCCTAAATTTTTTCCCCTTCATCTCAGATCCTTCTCCTCTATGTGTTTATCTTCTTCTTTGCTCTCTATATCCACCCGATGTCAGCAATCTCAAGCTTTCGTCCCTGCCTCTCTGTTCCCTCTGTTTTTTCTCTTTCTAAACCCTAAACCCGTTGGATATCTCTATCCTCGATCCATCTGAGAAACCCGAAACCCTTGAAATCGACTCGTTCAAATCGTCTTTCTGATGGAGAAGATGAAGCCTTAGCACAAACAAACCTAAGACGAAACAGATGAAGCCGAAACCCCTAAACCACACACAAACCCTAAGGCGAAGCAAGCAGATGAAGAAGATGAACAAGATGAAAGCTTGAGATTGCTGAAATCCATCACGCATCTTGAAATCCAGGTATTTATTTTTCTGAAATTGTCTTTCTGATGATGGAGAATTGCTTAAAATTTGCTTCAAATTGCTCGAGATTAGTTGAGATTGGTTGAAATTTGTTTGATATTGCTTGAAATCTGTTTGAAATTGCTCGATTATTGTTGTTGTTGTGGTTATTGTTATTGTTGTTTTTAGTCTGTTTGTTTTGTTGGTGAATTTTGTTAAAAAATATTATTTTCTGTTTGGGTGGAGTTTTTGCTGGGAAAGGATGAGGAATGGAGGGAGGGAAGAAAGGAAAGCAATTAGGGATGATGATCTGGCAGATTTGGCATTGCCAAAGCTTGTGCTAAATTTGGCACAAGCTTTGGCATTGCTATAATTTGGCAGCCGATATAGCATGCCACTGGAGACCTGTTTTTGCCAACTCCCGCCAAAATTTGGTGACGGCAGCTCCTTTGGCAGCCCACTGTAGATGCTCTTATGCATGCATAAATTGTTACATGAAAAAATAAATAAAAGTTAACTCTTTTTTCTTTTGGTTTGTTTTTCTATTCTCAGTTTGTGTACTTGAGTTGCCTGTGGTGGGTTTTCCATGGAAACAGTGGTTGGAGTGGAAGGAAATGATGAAGCTAAGTTTGATGATGTGCCAGTTGTTAAAACTAGCTCACCGCTATCCTCACCAAGGGAGATTGCTGATCCTGTTGTATACAAGCTCGTTCGGGTATATAGCTTTAGATATATACACACACACATACATGTATACATGCTCGTTCGGGTATATAGCTTTAGATATACGCACACACACATACATGTATACATGCACATGTATGTGCACTCTTTCGGACAACAAGTTGAATCTGTAGTACAAAAGGTTGAATACCAGATATTGTGCATGTAGACTGGTTTTCTTAAAAAAACATAGGAACCAAATTATGCCTCCATTTTCAATGATCATGGGGCTCCCAAATTGATAATATTGTTCTATCTTGAAAATAATTAATAGGGCACGTGGGGCTCGACACAATATTTGTTGGGAATGAATTTGAATTGCATTTGCTTCCATGGCATAGAAGAGTGCAACAGTATAAAAATGGTAGCTTTGTGAAGGGAGTTCTTATACACAACACATGGACGTAGTGAATTTAATTATTAGTCATGTTATCGTTTATTTAATGACTGAACCTACTAAAATGGTTGTCAATTGTGAATTGCGGAAATGATAGCATTTTTATTTTTGTGCTGTACCATGCTCAATAAATCTGAAATAGCTCATTGGTGTTGTAGTTATTCATCAATTATTCTTAGAGTCTTTACCTTGCTCTTCTAACCAATTAGTTGGCAGTCTGATAGAGTTTGATATTTTGTTCAATTTTTAAAATTTGCATTTTTAATGCCATTACATTTTCCAAAATTTTATTTTGATGCCTCACATGTCCAATATGTGTCGGTTGTTGACACGTGTTTGACACCTATATGTGGCCTCTAGGGAGGTCTCAGTGCTTCATAGCAATCAAACACTGACATGGAAACGGTATTCACATTGTTGTACTTCTAAAGGTGAATACTTTTAATGCACATGTTTCTTAAAGTTGAACACCCTTTCAATGAATTAACATTGATTGTAATGATTCTCAATATTAACTGCATTGCTAAACTTTTGTTGTGGACTCGAGCCACTTGGCATATCAAGCAATTTTTGTTCAATGAAAACATTTGGATAATTATTAACAAAGGTGAATAGGTGACAAAGAAGGATTTATGGATGTTAGGGGTATTGGATAAAATTGGAAGTTAAGTACTAAGTAGCATTGAATTAGCAAATTGCAAGCAAGTCTCCAAAATTTTAAATTAGAATTTTAAGGATTAACTTGACTGTGAAGATTAAAATCTAAAGCTCCTTTCCATGACACATGTTCACTCTGATGACTCCTAGTGGCTAGTGAAGCGTTAGCTTTACCTTTTCTATTCTATTAGATTAGTATTAGTTGGTGATCCCAAATCAATTTTTTTCCATTCTCGAGGACGTACATCTATTACTTGGATCTTCTTCCACAATGGTACAGAACAAACCCAAGTTCCATAGCTTTTGATCTGCTATTCCGATCATGATTTTCCCACCCCTAGAGAGAGAGGCTTGGATATCTTCTAATTGCATTGAATAAAAATTTGTTTTATTTTTGGAATCCATTCTTCCTAGCGTTGGGTCTCCCCAACTTCAAATTTACACCCTATTTAAGTATCTTAAACTAGAGTGGTAGCTGATTGTGCAGTTTTGAACAAACGTGATGGATATATTGAAGAACCATTAGAATTTTGGGGTCTCTTAGCATCCTCGTTAGATTCAAAATTTGATAAGTGGAATTTTGGTTGGCTAGGCGGGTAGGGGCCTAATAATCCTTGGTTGGTTTTAGATGTTTGGGATGAGTTTTTATATTTTTCTTGGTAAGTAATTTTTTTGGAGTAAAATTCACTTTATCCTTTTGTGGTTTGGCCACAAAAAACTTTACCTCCCCTCTTCTCCCTTCTCAAAGAGGGCCTTATGTGGTTTTGACCATTTTGCACTTGGCCTTAGTACCTTTATTAATTTTGTTAAAATTGATAGAATTTGTGCAGCACACACTTACGAAAAAAAAAAGAGTCAACTTCTGTAGTAAAAGGACAGATTTGCTCTTTCTTCATCTGCTTCCCATTTCAATACCCTAATCCTAATACACCCACCACATCTCACCACCCCCACCACTGCCTCCACCCTCGCCTCCTTTCCCACCCTCTTTTCTTTTTTCTTTTTTGGTTTCCTTCTTCTTATATACTCTTTTCTGTGGTAGAACTTGAAGGACCCCACTTTACAAAACTGAGGTTTGAACGCGTGGCCATGCCGATTTTGCAACACCCACTTGGAGTTTTGGCAATTTGAAGGGATGAATTCCGAGATGGGTACGTTGGTTTGGTTGCGGGTTTGAGGTTTTGGTGGGGAAGTGGAAGGCATTGATGATGATGGCTTTCCAAGGTCTGGTTGTTGTTGGGTGTTGACTGCTATTTGGTTTTGATTGTGGAAAGGTCTAAGAAATGTAGACATAGATCTCTGTCTACCAGATGGATCTATGTATACCCCCATGAAGACATAAGAAGTTCCTTTGTTGAACCTTCATCATCTATCAGGTATAATGCATATATGTGTGTGTGTGTCTCTGTATATATGCACCATTGGAAATGTGATTAAATTAGAAATTTTGTTGAAAATTTAAAAATAAGTTATAAAGTTAGTGATATTTAGGTTAATATATAGTTTAATTAATTAATGTGTGATTAAATTTAAAGTTATATCCGTGATAGGGGAGAGAGAGAAGATACCATGGAGGTGTTAAAGCCATTTTTTACTTGTCATTAATGGTGTTGGAGTTGCATTTTAGTCTAAAACCACATGAGGCCTCCTTGGCTATTTTTGATCGACGGGGCAAAGTGCTCTGGGCCCAAAACACAAAGGGTAAAATGAATTTTGCCCCTTTTTTATTATGTTTTCCTTTAGCAATATGCTATCATGATTAGATGGGGTCTTTTATTTGCTTGTGTATCAATAAGAATTTCAATGAGTTTAATATTGCTGGTTATATGAGGGATTTTCATAAGTTGGATGCTAGAATTTCCCACTACCTTCATTGTGCCCTTTTCAAATGGTTTAACTGGTAGGTGTTGGCCTGTAAAATTGGTTAAGTTTTTTTCACTTTGAGTGACTGGCAGATTTGTTCTGCATCATCATCCTGTAAACTCTACCTGGGCGTGTTTTCCAAGTCATTTCCTCATTATCTAGGAGTTGTTGGAGTCTGATTGCTTTAGCGAGGCCCTACTTCATTTTGGGTAAAAAAACATATAGTTAGAGCAGAACTCTTGTCAAACAGCTTTGAGAAGTTGTGGAAACATGTAAAGACTAGATCACATGGGGTGGATCATGGACTTCCATGTAATCAGTATGCCTTTTTTAGATGGATGTTTTTACTGCCCCCGCTTCTTTGCTGTTAGTGGCAAAATTTTGACTTCTTTGAAGTAGTTTTTGTAAACAAATATTTCTCCCTTTGAAATCCACTTTACATGCTTCTTTATGCATCTACTTATTGTAGCCTTTGTTTAATTGTGCTTATAACATTGAAATTATGGCTATATTGTATGGGTAGTTTTAATATTGTTTTACAGTTGGGAGTTGAAATGGTCTTCATACACAAAGTACTTAGGTAAATCAGCCTAGTGGAAGAGAGAATGGCGTTGGTTGATTTGTGGGTGCCAAAAGGGCAAATTAAGGCAATTTGGATGATATTCAGAGATGAAGCATAGATGACCCGTGCTTGTAACTTAAAGAGTTTATTTTATGCTGAAGATTTTGTTTTGTGGCTAGTTAATTTTCAATGTACTATTTATTTAATTTCATTTGCACCTGGAGGGTAGTTGTTTTTAAGTGGGAATGATGGAATTGTGATATCTTATTACTGTTTAGGTTGACAGGGATGGAAGGTTAGTGCCTGCAACGGATGATGAAGTTATGGAGGTTGAGGACTTGCTTGAAGACGACAAAAGTGAAAGGCTTCCTGTTGCAGGTGCTGGGCAGAATGTTGGATACACTTCCAATGATGGATGTCCTCCTATCAAAACTCAGTTCAATGGTTCAGAAGGTCTGTTTACGTATTTATGCTTTTCATATGTTGCTACTTTATTTTTATTCATATGATTCATGCGATGGAAATGAAAACGATGACGATGTCAATGACATTCTGAGCTTTGTATGATTTGTTGGCTCATTTTTTGGCACCTTGCATGCATTTTTTTGTTTTGTTTTTGGTCCTTTTGAAATCCACTCAATTGAATTTACTGTTGTCCTAGAAGTTCAGATGTCACGTCCCGGATTTACAAGATCCGAACCCAAATAAAGAGATGGAAACATAATTCAAATAGAGAAATCGAAATAGGAAGAAAGAAAGTCTGAATGAGAATTGTTTTGTTGAGGTGATATCTTTACAAGGAATTGAATTATAGCCTGTGCTTCGATATTCACATGGCATTCAATACATGAAGTTATAATATTTATGTAGACCCTATATTCATCTGCTACATGGCATGAATATACAACATGAGATCTTATCAAATCAAAATGAAATTTTACAACATAAATGCCCTATGGCTTATACGAGAAAAGAGGGCGTAGCCCTTGCTCAAAAGAGGCACTCGGTCATAGCCAAGGCCACACAAATAACCAAGTTGAGCCTTCATTCTCTTCCGTGCACGTAACCATCATTGAGACGGTACCACGCCATCCACTTGAATTTTTTTTTGCAATGAAGGGATGAACCAAAGTCCAGTAAGAAAATTCTTTTCTTAAGAAATATGCCTTGTTTATGATATGTGATCATGATGCTGTGTGATACATAAATATAGATTCAAAATTTCATCATTTGACAAAGTTCCAATTAAATCTTCAATTTTCCAAAACTAGAGACACAAAAGGGAAATTTCCAACATCCATGCCAACTACACCAGTAATGAATCACTAAGTTAGTATCTGCCAGTGGTCCTAAAAGACAAGGACCACCAATAACACCCCCACATACTAGATATTAGCCGGAAGGAAAGCAGTACCTACTTGCACAGGTTTTCGGCCTTTCATTGTGGACACTCTCGCTAGCTTATTTCACCAAAATATACTAACATGATTCATCATCCAAAACCAATTATCAACATATAGTTTCAATAACAATTCAATTCCTTGTATTCCAAAAATAAATGCCAATTTCATCAAGTTGTAAATTTTTACAACGATGTAGTCCTCCACCGATTGTCACAATTATACAAATCTCTACCATTTTCCAAATCATTCCAAGATGAGAATAAAACCATAAATTTTCACATGCATACTAAAAATCTCAAAGTCTCATACTTTTCATGAATTTTCCTTTTTGAAATGATACAAGAGAAATAATACTTTCCAATTTCAATACATGGTATGTGTATATTCAAAATTCAATTAAAAAAGATTTCACAAGTTAGGGCTTTCTAAAATTTTGTGCTTTCCTCATTTTGATGCACATGATCAAGATATTGTTTGATTTTTATGAATATGTCAAGGAATTTCTAGCATTTGAACAAACCCTAAACTTTTCATACAAGACATGCAAAAGTTTCAGTTCTTTCATAGAGATAATGGGGGTGTTTGGTAGAGATTATTTTAAGCTAAAAGCTGATAATCTATGAAGCACGGGTACAGGTACGAGTACTGGTACTGGTACGATATGGGTACGTCGATACGGTAAAATTAAAAAATAATAGGGTACAGGTACGCCTTGGTACGTTTGTAAAAAAATATTTATTTTTAATGTAGAATAATGCAAAAACTAATTAAATGGTTTAATTTGTTAAGGTCCGACCTACAATTAACATCTAATGTCAAAAGTAAAAGTATAAATCAAAATTAAATGTCAATATATTAAATAACTTACAAATCATAGTTTAATTTTAAAACCATGGTAAGTATAAAACAAAAAATGAAAAAGAAATCTAGTGAAAAGAGTTTTATCTTTATAATAGAAGAAAATATTGTTTCAACAGAGGTACGCTACGGCTTGAGTATATACTATGTACGTTTGGGTACACCAAAAATTAACAAGAAAAATTTTGGATACGTGTATTGTGTACCTAGTACGTATGTAGAAGTATCATGTGAGGTATCATACGCCATTAAGTAATTCGTACGGGTACGGTATGTTTTTCGAAGTACCCATGCTTCGTAGCTAATAATCAATATAAGCTAAAAGCACCCCTCACCTAGTTTCTGAAAAATTAGCTTTTTCCAGCATATTTAAGCTATTTTTGCCTATTAAGCTGTAAGCAAAAGTTGCATCAGACAGTCTGGCACAAACTCCCATAATAAAATAAGCTATAATTTGCTTCCATTATCCCTACCAAACACCCTCAATATCACAAATTTACAATCCAAATCATATTTAACTATAAGCAAGAAAATTCCTACCTCATGCAATGAAAATGAGAAAATCTGAAAATCCCAAACTCATTGAAATGAAAATCGAAGGCCGTAGTTATGTAGCTCTCGATGTGATCTATAATGTTCTTTGTTGGTAAATTTGCTAACTCTCACTCTAAAGTACCTCTAATCCGAGCTAAATTTTTTTGTTACAAACAGTTTATTAGAGAGGGGGAAAGGAAGGGGGGCAGCCGCCACATGGATTTGCCTCTTTTATTTTTATTTTTATATTATATATACATCAATCAATAAATAAGTCTATAATATATATAGTTAATAGTACATGTAGCAATATTATAAGATTTTGTACCATATCATAAAAAATGGTATAATTTTTCTCATCACAAAATATAACTTTCACTTAATGGTACACACCATAAATACGTCACTCAAGTTCTTATTATAATTAACACAATACAGCACAAATATTGGTTACTTTCTTATAATAATAATAATAATAATAATAATAATAATAATAATAATAATGTACAAGCTAGACATGACTCAATTAATTGGGTCCAAATTGAGTGAAGTTTAATAATCTAAAATAGATCTTTATTTATTCAAAAAAAAAAAAAATGTAAAATAGATCTTTAATTGAAACTAGAGTATAAAATAATTTAAATGGACTCACGGTGTTCCCCACTATTTACATAATTAAATAAGAACTAAAAATTAAATTTATATACTGGTTTAATACCTAAAAGAAAATAAAACAAAAAAATAAAATAAAACTCAAAAATTACAGAGTGGGCCTCACAAAGTCAAATCAAAAAGTAATGTAATCTAGTCTCACAAATTTAATTAGAACGATTTGCGATACACCAACTATAATAATAAGTTATCAAACTCATACCAATGCAACTCCAATCAAGACCCAGACCAGCAAACATAAGACAATTATCAAACAGGTACTGAAATAGAGGATACAAATCGGGTTAGACTCGACTTGTCACATCAGAAATCATTTATTCTTCAGTACCTGGTCTGCAAACATATCATTTATTTTTCTGCACACAGCCAGTGGTCTGCAACTTCATCTGGATTCTTTTCTGTGCCTTCAATCTGGAAATGGAAAGTAGAAGCAAGGGGCCCTAATCTTAGCATTTCTGAGTTTGTGTGGGGAATGTGGCCGAAGGAGAAATTCTTCTGTTGGTTAGCTTGGCTTGGCAGAATTTAGACATCCGTGTTCCTTCAGAGGATAGGGGTTTTAAATGCAAATGCCAGCACCTTGTGTCTGTTTTGTAGAGATGAGCCAGAGTCTATTAACCATGTTCTTCTTCACTGCCCAAAGGTTTGGTTGATCTGGTCTGGTGTGATGAAGTGGTGGGATCTAAGGTGGGCAATGCCATTATGGTGGGATGGTGGGAGGATGAAGAAAAAGGAGAGGAAAATTTGGAAGGTTGTATCTCTGATTCTGATGTGGTCTGTGTGGAAGGTGAGAAATGGATGTTTAAAGGAAGTCAATTGGTGATTGATGAAATGCTTGAAGTTTTCAAAACAAGAGTGGCAATTTGGGTGTGAGGAGCAGCTGGGGAGGTTTTCATTACTTAGTGCATGATTTGGTGTGTGTCTAATCTTAAGCAGGTCAGATACTGTTTGAGGTAAGTCTGGCTTTGCTGAAAGTGCAGGCTGGTTGCTGGTGCGTTGAAAGGGTCTGAGAGCTGCTGGTGCTTTGTTTACTGGTTGTGTTGAGTGTACTTATGCTCTCCTTTTGTTTGTTGGTAGTTGTTGTTTGTAGATTTTTCTGGTTTTGGTTGTGCTGTTTGGTTGGTGACTCTCCAACCTTGGCGGTGTGCTAGCAAATGATTGGGCTCGTATGGTGGTGCCAACCTAGTTGGGATTGCTATATCGAGCTGTGATGCCTCTGCACTAGCTTTTTTTCTTTATTGATGTAACCTCTTTGTATCATCATCAGTTGTTATAATCAATAAAGATTCTATTGCTGATCCAAAAAATGAAGAAAAAGAAATCATTTATTTTTCTGACTCTTTGGAGGTGGAATGCCCTGCTTTGATCTCAATACTCGCAACACTTGCTCACTAGATCTGTTTGTGTATCTACATGTGTATTGATGTATTTGGGCTTCTTTCTCTTTGTTTCTCTCTGTTGGTAATTTAGTTGAATGACAAATGTTTTCCAGGTCAATCTGAGAACCCTGAAGTTAATGCAGAAAGGTCAAATGCTCAGCTTGACACAGGAGTTGGTATGGGGAAATTAGACGATGAACATGAGGTGGTTTTTGGCCTTTCTTTCCTACAGCATGTACTGCCATTTTGCTTTTTCTTCCACGAGTTTATTAGATTGATAAAATTTGAATTTTAACATATTAATTCTTTGCTGTCGTTCCTAATTTAGGAATCCTAGTCTCTTGGTTGCTAGGTTTCTTTTTCTTTTAAATAAAGTTTTCTTTTCGTTTCTTTTATTTTTCTTTGTTAATTTAGTAATACTTTTTCTATTATTACTGATATTGCTGGTATTTCCTGGGTTATTTTTTTTCTTGCATGTTAACACATTTGTGATGATATCAGGGTACTAGTATATTTCTGGTCCTTTTGGCCTTTATTCTTTTATATTGTATATAAAGAATATTTTGGAAAGGGTTAAACAATCTGAGGTTGTTTGCTTGGCTTGAGGATGATTTGATTCTTAGTAGCAGGAAACTCCTAGGGTGACGTTTCTTACTCAGAAACTCAATTTAACGCTGCTAAGTAAAAGAGAAACCTGCTCCCGTAGAGGAATAAACTCAGCCCAACTGTGATAGAACCGTCAAACATACCGATCTCAAAGAAACAAAAGAATAGTTGGTAATTTAGTGTGTAGTTCATTAGGGATCTCTAGCATTTTTGTATATTTATACTTAATTTTTGTTATATATTTGAATAAATATAGTTTTGTGCAACTAAGTTTTGATCCTTCGTCCACTTTCATGAGCACACATATCCTATATCTAATAGGCACGGTATATTGACTTCACTTAACAAAAAGTTTCAAATTTCAACGCCCTTGCAGGAAACTATTCCTTCGTTGGAAACAAATTCAAATGAGAGTCATATTGATCAGCTTGGAAGTGGTGGAGAATGCTCAAGCCCTTTAGATGGACCAATCAAAAGTGGATCATCAATTTCTGCTATCTGTACTAGTTCAAAGCCTGATTTCTCAAAGTTAAAGGGTGAAATATGCTTGGACAACCTATCAGTTAGGGAACTTCATGAAACCTTTAAAGCAACATTTGGACGGGAAACTTCTGTCAAGGACAAACAGTGGCTGAGGAGGAGGATTGCCATGGGATTGGCCAACTCTTGTGATGTTTCAACTACAACTTTTGTGATTAAAGATAACAAAGTGGTGAAGAAAGGTAAAGAAGAAAGCTTTAAGAGTGTGGATCATACCCCTGCTAAGGTTCTGGCAGTTGGAGTGAATGAAAACTGTGGAGGTTCACCAATTGGATGCAATAACCAAATAGAAAATCCTCAAAGTGTTTGTGGCAAGATATTGACAGATCCTAGTTTAGAATATGATTGTAGTGTTGAAGATTTGAACACTGAACAGAGAGCAGCAAAAAGAGTTCGGAAGCCGACAAAGCGATATATTGAAGAACTGTCAGAAGTAGAATCTAGAGACTATAGTGGGAAGTTAATCTCTTCAGTTAAAAGTTCTGGACAAAGCCTTTCATCTCCAATATCTCGTGTCAGGCCTGTTCGGGATTCGCAGTCAGATGGGAGACCCGTTGTCACCAGGCAAGATTCTCTGGGAGGTTCGGGTGTTCAGGTTCCATATGTTTGCCGGGTACGGAGAAGCCGTCCAAGGGAAAACTTTATGGCTCTTATGGTAATCATGCAACCATACCTTGCTGAACAATATGTATGTGGCTTGGTTAATCTGGATTTGTGAATTTATTTTGTCTGTTAGATTTAATGCATATCTATTGGCTAAATAATTTTTTACGTGGCGTATTTGGTTAATTGATCTTGTTTTGGTATCATGACAGATGCACGTGTGCCTGTGGAACTAGTAATGTATCTGTTAGCATAACATATTTTTGCAATTTTTTCCTTGGATTTTGAGATTTGTTACTTCATGCATGTGCACATGAGAAGGGGGTTTTCTCTTTGTTTTTCTTTTCTTTATTTGAATTTTATGCAATGGCGATTAGAGGTGATTTGATGGTGGGGAGTGTATGTCTGATAATCATTTTGACCGATTATCACCGTCTGTATAACCACAAGGAAGAAAGCTGCTACCTAGGGCCCTCCTACTCTCTCTCTCTCTCTCTCTCTCTCTCATGTGCGCGTGCATGTATCATGATTTGTGGAGCTGTGCTTAATAACATTTTCTTCTATGAAGCCGTAGCCGTGTCTGGCACGTTGACATGCGGACACAGTGGATACACGTATGGGACAAGCCACGTGGCGTGTCCCTATATTTAATTTTTTTTTAAGGGAACACTTTAGGGACACTCTAGAGACATGCCAAATACTTTTTTCTCATTTTCTTTAGTGCTTTTGATGGATGCTGGATGTTGAATGTTTATTCATTTTTGGGCGTCGGCGTCGGCGGCGTCGTCATTTATTTTTTATTTTTTTATTTTTTTTATCTATAAATTTTTAATGTCGAATTAGTGTTGGTTTTTGTCATAGTTGTCAAATCGGGATTCGAATTGTGAATCGAAATGGGTTTGTACTGAATTGTAATCGAATCGAATCGAATCGTGAATCATAAAGATTCGGTCACCTTTTTTTTAATTACATAGAAAATATATTTACAAATTTAGATATTAAATATATCTAATAAATATGAAATATTTAGACTTAAATCAATAAAAATATTATTTTAAATGATGACCATGTGGTCTGGGTAAGAAGTTAACGATGGTTTTCATGTTTACCACTTCACCTTTTCTTTTCTTATCAACCGTCCGTAATAAAGAAAGCAAACAAAGACAAATTTTCAATTTACAACAATAACTCAACAACAATGTTTTTAACATTTTATAAGGTTAAAAAACTAAAATTTTCAAACTTTTTCAAAAATCTCACTTGATGCTTTCAAAAAATTTATTTTGTGAATGCAAGTACTTAGATAAAATTGAATATGTAAGCCTAGAATATTGTAGATTGTATTTTTTTTCCACTACGGTTTGAGTATTTGAGAGTAAATAGGGAGGGAGAAAGTCAAAAGATGGCGTATAGTAATCCTAGAGACCTTAAGAAGGTTGTGTGAACCCTTTTCCAATAATAAAAAATCAAAAAAGAAAGCCAAACATCGATTTTAGTTAATCAAATTGATTCATGATTCATGGATTCGGTTCACCGATTTACTGATTCACCTACTATTCATAGCTATTTGCGATTCACACAACCTGTTTGAATTGATTACCTACTGAATTGATTCGAATCGCGAATCGTATGATTCTAATAATAAAGGTTTTTGTTAATTTTGATTGTTTGTGGATGTAATATTAATCTATATAGCAAATAAAAAATATATGAAAAAATATTTTATTGCCATGTCACTGTTTTTTTTAAATCACCGCATCCTGCATCTTTGTCCGTCTGTGCTTCTTAGATTTTCTTTGATAAGGTCTGTACTTGATGTAAATAGCTCGGAAAATTTCCCCTGATCAAAGGAATGAAGCACTTAGTACTGCTATGCAAATGTACAGGTGTAATGTGATCTCCTACAGCTAGCTAGTATGATTTTTCTCCAATTCTTGTGTCCTAATTACGAGTATTATAGTGCTTGCTATTACCGCTGACTTGTAAATCTCTATAAACATTTATTCTTGTACTTGCATTATCATAATCAATGACTAGGGACACAAGAAGCTAGTAACATGCTTTATTTCTTTCATGCTGTAGATCTGTGGTTCTGTCGGCCTGTAGTTCATTTGCTTTAGTAGTACTGTCCCTTTTGGATTATGGTTCTCTTGTTGACATCATTGTGCCTTATTCTCATTGCTGTTTGTTGGTAATATTCTCCATTTTGAATGTGAAAGTTGGAGTATGAGTCTATTCCTTTACAGTATTTATTTTCTTCACCATTCATGGCTGTTATTTATACCATGTGGCTAATAATCACGAGCTCTCTCTCTTACTTGCTTGCTTTAGGTGAAGTTCTAAGAACCTCTATTGTTTTGTGGTTCTAAGTTCTATTTCTTCGTGCATTTTTTAGTATGGTTTTCTTCATGCTGATGTTGATAGCTGTCACGCATACCAAACTTGGAGCGAATTGCTTATTATTTGGTAATTGTTGCATCTAGATTATACCAGAATAGTTAGCATTTTTAATGGTAGATGTTGCCAATAAATTCAGTGTCTTTTATTGTTTTCAGCTGTTACTTGCAGATGACAGTGAATCTAAACTCTTTGGTCCCATTCATCCCATGAGTTCTAGTCATTAATACTTTTCCTGGATTGAATATTCATTATCCCTAGTGACTTGCACAATTATGTATTTCCGCATTTGCACTGCTCATATCATGTGTTCCATTTTTTCAGGGACAGGTTTTCAATCATATACCTATGAAATCACAAATGCTCCATTACAAAATCTGTAGGATGATTTTTAACATGGTTAATGTGAATATAGTGGTATATAATAGGGAAGTTATTGAACATATTATTATTGAGCAGGAGGTGCAGGATGGGTTCAGGTCATTTAATCCTTAATAAATGAAAATTTTGAAAATGGCAGATTTTGGGGTGGGACACATTCTGCTCAATAATTGCAATTGATCCCCTAAGAACAAGATTTGTGAATACCAGTGGATTGATGTCAATTTATATGTTGAATTTATGGTGAAGATTTAGTTAAGAATGACCACTTCTGTACACAGGCTATGATTGTGGAACCAAACTTTTATTCTTTACCAGCATGTGCATGTATAGCAACCGGTTAATGTGCTTTGGATTGCGATTGTAGAAACTTCAACCCAGTAGCATGGGCATGGCAGCCAACCTGGTTAAGAAGGCCCTCGGTGTCTCTGGTGCTCAACCAGATAATGAAGTAGGGAACAAAGTCTTCAAGGCCAGGTCAGCCTCTGGATGGATTCAAAAGCCTGTAAGTTGAATTGTTATTCGTCAGATACTACATTTTCATTTTATTTGGAATTTGATTTGGGGCGTAAATCTTGCCATTAATTAATGAGACTTCTATATTGTTTGAATGGAGTGCATGTTGTGTTTAGTCTGGTGGAGTTTATCTCATACCCTAATGATTTACGTTTTGGAACACACATTTTGAAATATGGTACTCTTTCATTTGAAAGCAGTGAATTTAGCTATCCAAAGCTGTTCTCAATTTTTTATTTTATTTTATTTTATATATTTCCTTAGGTCTATGATCTTGAAGGGGAATGGGAGTCTCATTACTAGTAATAGAGTTCATGTGTCAATTCTGTTTGTGGATACCTATATGGCGCTCGACACTTGGCGAGCCCTATGAGTGCCATGTCATTATCCCTATATCTCCACGTGGAAGACCCCCCGAGGCACCATGATGTCCTCACAGGACTAATTGGGATTGTGTGCCTAGCCTAAATAGGGGTATACACACCCCCAAAGCATGGTTGCCGCTCTAGCAAGCAAGAGCTCTAAAGTGAATGAGTCAAAGTACAAAAAGTCTGATGCATGGCTCATAGCGTATGCGGCGGAGCCCAACTCACCTGCTCGGCCATAGCCCACTTTGCAAAACCACTGTGTCGGAGCACCACGGCTTCCCTAGAGCCTTCACTCTTCGTGATCCTTCATACCTCATTCTCATTGGGATCACATAAGGGTGACCACATCTGCGCAGTCACTCCTACTTGGCTGTAGCACAATTTGGCTATTCGCTCGCCTGTCTTCCTATGTAGTCATTCCCTAAGTTGGGTTACTGGTCACTAATACCATAGCCATCACTTGGCAGCCTAGGACGGGGAGTAAGGCCTAGACATCCATTACTTAGGATCATTAGAGGATTGTGGATTTGGGATTAGGATCATGGTTCCATCAATGTTGCTTGGTTATCTTCCTAGTGAAGATAGCTCCTCCTTGACTAGTCTTGGAGAGTGGGGACATTGACCTTGCAGTCATGTTTGTTGAACATTTCTTAAGATATCATATCTACCTCTGCAGCTCCTATGATGCAGCCATTCTAAGGTTTGAAGCATAGGATGCAGTAGTAGGTCTGATATCACCACTTTGTCAAGTTAAGGAGAACTCACTACTTGTTTATAGGTGGCTTGGGTTCCAATACTTCGGGAGCCTATAAAAGGGTACCCATGCAGGCAGCCACATAACACTAAACTCAATTGTTCAAGTTCTTTGACTGCCATCCTCTCTGTCTCTAAGGTTGCCTTGGTTTTCTCTTCCGTCGCCCATGGCAATCCTCTACCATTGCAGTGCCCATCATCTTTCTGGAAATTCTCAACCGATTGCCTTTCATACCTAATTCTATTATTAGAATCTTATGATTTGCTATTCAATTTGCAATTTATACAAAATCAATACGAATCTATAGGTGAATCTATTTTGGAAGTGATTCTATGGTGAGTTGCACTACTCAAATCAATTCACAATTCGATTCACTTTTTACGATTCATGCAATTCTTGATACTATCGTGTCCGGTATATTTTTATTTTTTTTTCCTCCATCTTTTTAGTGAAAATAACATAATACAACTTTTAATAGTATTTGGTATGAAAATAATCAATATGTATACATGATTTGTTGTTATTTTGGTGATCAGAAAATTTTCATAGTATCCAATCAAATTCAGTTAGTCCCAACATGTTCTTAACCCTTTCTTCTCAATTTTTCTTTTAAAAGAAAAAAATCATAATATATCTTCTAAAGGTGTTAAGGTTAAAGTAACTTGGAAAGATATTTATGCTTATTAAAAATTAAGAGTTTGTTTTTGTTTACTTGATTTATTAAAGATGGTTAATAAGAAATATCTAAAAAAATGGAACCTGTGATAACTTCCTACCTATTAGACCACGTGATTATCATTTAAAATGACATTTTCATTGATTTAAATCTAAATATTTTATATTTACAAGATATATTAATATATATGTGTACAGATATATTTTTCTAAGTAATTTAGAAAAAGTGACTAAATCTTTACGATTCATTATCTGATTCGATTCGTGATTTGGTACAAGGCCATTTCGATTCGCAATTCGAATCCCAATTTAACAACTATTCAAGCGTTTGGTTTCGTTAGGAATTCTCTATGAAAAAATGATAAAATTTTAAATATTATGGACTCAATTATTAATTTTTACTCTTAAATGCTTAATATTCCTCTAGGTAGGGGTGTGAAAAAACATACCTAACAGCCCAAACCACCTGATTGAGCTGCCAACACCACCCATGGTTTGAGAGTGTTGGTAGGTTGGGTTTTTATGTAGGTTGAGTTGTGTGCGGTTTAAAATCTTCAACTTGCCAAAATAACTGACCCAACCCACCAATACTTGCGTATAAACTAAATACCTCAACTCTAAATAGATCTTCTCAGTTTTTGACTCTCAACCCTCCTCGTAGCCCATGCCTCTCATTGCCACTTTTTGAACACAAATACATCATCAAACATTTTCTTTATTTTGATTTTGTAGCATAAATGTTTGTCTTTAGAATGTATTTCTATAATATGCTAGAATTTACCGCCCACCAACCTGCTCAACCTGTTGATTTGAAATTGCCAAAAAAATTCAAATTAACACGCCGGTTTTGTGGTCGTACAGGTTGGCGCTTGGTTAAAAAATTGTCAACCCGTTGAGGGTAGTTTGGTTGAGATTATTTCTCCCAAACAACCTAAACCGACATGCGCACACCCACACATCCAGAAATGTGAGATTTCTATGGGAAAGTGGGGGAATCAAATTTCTATGTAGTTTGACAATGTGATTCTTGTTGAAATAGGTAATGAGGAATCATTTTCCTATTCCAATTCGTTCCAAATGCTATAATCATGGGAACTTTGAATCACATTCCCATGATCATAGAAATGTGTTACATGAACTTAGCCTAAAGGTTTCGTTAAGAGGGGGAAAAAATCAAATATAGTGAACAAAAATCTAAAGAGAGTGGTGTTTTAGAAGGAAAAAACATTATATAAAAAGAAGGGTTACAATGATCATAGAAATGTGTTACATGATTAATTTGAAAAAAAGCAAAAAAAAGGAAAAAGATAGGTCCTTCAAAACAATTTTATTGGTACATCGGCTTCACTGTTTTAAGCGAAAATCCTTTTTGAGATAATTTTTTCCTTTAAATTTAAAATGACACAATTTAACTGATAAAAGAGAAATTGTAAATAATTAAATTTTATTGGATCTAATAGCTATAAAAAAAAGAGAAAAGAGAAAAGAGAAAAGAAAAGGAAAAAAAAAAAGAGAAATTGTGTAGAAGTACAAATAACCCTACTTTTCTATCTCAATGACCATTAAGTTCTCTGAAATTTTGTTAAGAGAATGAAGTTCTATTTTTAAAGTCGCAATTCCAAAAGAGTTCTATACTTCCTTACAACTATTATTTGCTCCCCTTTTCATATATGAAATTGCCTTCCTACATTGTTTGGCTCTAGTAATAAACAATAAGTTCATGTAGCTGCTGCTCCTGCGGCTTCTTCTTATCTCATACTTTCTGGTAATGAAGTATTACCCTTGTCCATTTCACATTTTTCACTCTAGTAATAAACAATAAGTTCATGTAGCTGCTGCTCCTGCGGCTTCTTCTTATCTCATACTTTCTGGTAATGAAGTATTACCCTTGTCCATTTCTTCGTGCTATACCTTCCCAGAGCCAAACAATGTACAGTGTACACTAAATAAATCGTAAGGTTGCAAATATTTAAAATGATTTGTGAACAATTCGTAGGCCATTCATAAAACTCGTCTATGAAAAAGGATTTGTTATTTTTTTTTCTAAACCATTCAAATTCTGAATGCATGTTAGAATTTACTAATAAATTATGCAGTTCAAATAAAACGTTTAACATTAAAGATTACAATTATTGGGTAGTAACTGACTTTTCCCAAGTTTCATTCCTAAATCAAATGAGTTCGGCTAAAAGATTAGATATAATGGGCATCATTATCATATTTGATCGATAAGTACAGAAAAATACGTACAAAATTCATCTCTATGGGAATTTTGAACTTCACTTGAAATATTTATTAAAAATATGACTTCATTTAAAAAGAAAGGACTTCATTGTCTTATGATAGTTCTCAACATGAACTTCATTGTCCTATTAAAACTTAATCTTAACAAACGATGGAAAACTATGAAGCACGTGTACGGGTATTGATATGATAGATATGATAAAATCTAATAAAAGTAGGATATGGGTACGGCTGGATGCGTTTGTAAAAAAATATTTATTTTTAATTTGGAGTAACACAAAAATTAGTTAAATGACTTTGTTGAGATCCAACTTACAATTCACATTTAATGCCAAAAAGTAAAGGTATAAATCAAAATTAAATGTTGTTATATTAAATAATTTGCAAATCATAGTTTAATTTTAAAATCATGTTAAGCATTAAAATAAATATATAAAGTCTAATGAAAACTAATTTTATCTCTGTATTAAAAGAAATTATTGTTTCGATTGAGGTACGATATGTGTTGGGTATACACTAGATACGTTAGGTTAGAGGTACGGAAAAAATTAAGAAGCAATCAATTTGGTATGTGTTGGGTATCCGGTACGTATGCAGAAGTATCATGCGAAGTATTGGTATCCGGTAAGTACATGGTATGGGTTACGTTACACGGCCTTGTCATATTTGGCGAAGTACCCGTGCCGACATGACACAACACGGGTACGGGTACGGGTATGGGTATGGGTACAGAATCTGGCCGGGATACGGCATGGAGAAAGTGGATACGGCATACGAAGAAGAAAGATGGCATACCTACGATTAGGGCTACGAAAATGGAGATTAGGGCTTCGATCTTCATCTTAGGTGTGATCTTTTGCTCTGTCTCGATCTCTTCTTCTTGTCTTGCTCTCGAATCTTGATCTATCTTCTTCTGTCTTTTCGTCTCTCTTCTCTCACGCTCGATGCCATCTCTCTATCTCTCTCTTCTTTTTAATATAATTTATTTTATATCATATAATTTATTTTATACTTAATATATATTTTTTATTTTTTTATTTTTTTTAACAGAATTTATTATTTCTTAACTTTTTTAAACTCGTTTTCATAAAATAAATATATTTAAAAAATAACTATTTAACGTATTCCCGTATCCGTATCCAAATTTGGATCCATATCCAAGTGTCCTCAATTTTTAGTATTTTAAGTGTTCGACCCCTAGATATGCACCCACACCCAATACTTGTACCTGAGTCCGTGTAACATAGGGTACGGGTACGGCATGTTTGTTGAAGTACCATTCATACCGAGACATCATCCATTCTTTTTCCTCATTTTTTCACATTTGTTAATGCCACTTCCAAAAGTGTTCAATAGGTATATCTTTGGTTAAAATGACATAGATCAGGTACTGAGGTGAAATTTAGGGTTCCAAAACTAAAATTGAACTACCATCAACATTAGATTGGTTATAACAGTGAAACTGGATATCTTATAATTCTAGTGTAGTAGCTTTGGCTCTTCTGGTGTTTTTTATTTTTATTTTTATTTTTCCAGTATGGTTGAAGTCTTGTGTATTGTTGTTGTATGGCTTTATCAGCTTCTGATGTTTCATGGGAATGTAATGTTTAGCTGTATCTTTTATCTGTTAAAAGCTGATGGATATGTATTTGTTGTGCTAATGTCTATTTCTGGCAGCTTGTTGCTGAACCAGAGAAAGATAAGCATTATCAAGAAATAAAAGCTTCTGAGTTGGACAAAGACATTGAACTGAAACATTTGGATTCATCTGGGGATTATTCAGATGATTTAGTAACCGTGCCCACAGCAAAAGGTGGAATGAGAAGAAAGCATCATCGACCCTGGACTCTCTCTGAAGTCGTTAAACTAGTTGAGGGTGTGGCAAGGTATGGAGCTGGTAGGTGGTCTGAGATAAAAAGGCTTTCATTTGCGTCCTATTCATACCGAACTTCAGTTGATCTCAAGGTATGAAAACGTATATAATAGCTGGGTGATTGTATTGGCCCAACAGAAGATGTCGTGATTGGAAATTGTGGACTTAGTTATTAGGCTGACAAGAGGTTATTATTTTTGCAGGACAAGTGGAGGAATCTGCTG